CATTTTACACAAATACTACTTGTTAAGTATGCAATTCATGATACAAAAATAGCATACTGTGTGATTTCCCAAAACAGCTTTTACATGATGGACAGTGGCTGTCTTTTTCCCATTCACAAGGCCAAAGTGACAATTGCTTAGTTTTTGAGGCAACATTTTTTTGCATATCTACCACATTTTTCTTCCTATTTAAAGAAAAATCTTGCCATCTTGGGCCTTTTTTCAACCCTTACGATACATTTGAAGTCAAGTGTACCCAAATGAATAAAAAAATTGATTTCATGTCCATATTTGGTCATGGCTCCTCCCACCAGAATCAAATTATTGATGCCTTCATATTTTGATTCCAGAAGTCTAGTTTGCCCAACTGAGGTAAGGAGTCTCTTCCTGTTAAGGAAGCAACAAAATCAAAATGTGTTCAGCTTGACAATACAAAGTACAAACTGAGCCTAAATGTGTACAAGTTGTGTGTAGGAAGATGAATGCATGACTGATGTCAGTGGGGGAAACTGTGGTCAAATCTTCTATTTTTGGAAGCCTTCCATTTTTGGAAGGACCTTCCATAAATGGGTATGCATTTTCCAAAAATGGAAGGCTTCCAAAATTGGAAGGTCTAATCTCAGTGTTCCCAACTGTGATTCACATTCTTTGATTTAAGTTACGGCCTTTTTAAATGTGTAACATTAAGAGTTGATTTTGCCATTTATGATCATTGATATAAGGAGAAGCAGCAGTGCTAGTGTTGGTAATACAGGCATGCTATGTCAATGTACATAGTGATATAATAGCATGGTGTCCTGGCGCACTGCTCTCTTTTTCTACTTCTAGAGGACACATAGAAATTCAGAAGAGAAAACAGCTGGTCAATAACCAACCAGGAGGAACACAGCTATAGCCCTGACAAAAAATGGTTTAAATTAAACTTACTATTCCTCATATAAATTGAAGATTCATGCTCCTTCGATAGAAAGTAACACGAAAAACGGCGCAGCAACGCCTATTTAATTCGTCCCATATTCCGGAAAAAACATTGAAAAATGACGAGACCTCCACCCAAATGTTTGGCAAAAGCCTTAAAAAATTGAAATCAACCACACAATATGCTAATAAATGCAGAAAACGGCAACAAATACAAGTTTTACTCGCCACTACACTCCCGAAACCGCCGCACTCTGTCCAGACAATTCCGCACTGTAAATAAAGTCGGCGGTATCGAACAAGCATGGCCCGTCACTAAAGTACTTTTAAATATTTACTTTTCGTTTTTGATGCTTTTTGCTTACAAAATGTTTGATAAAGTCTTATAAAACCATCGTTTGTCGGTAAATTTTTGTCAATTTTCCACGACTCATTACTTTGAAAAATTACCTAAAATACATCCACGCTAGGATTTAGGCATCCACGCTAGATTATGGACACTTCACTATGGCGAATAGAAAGCGACCAGGGGCGATAGTCGCATTTGCCTCATGTTCGGCGGAAATCGGTAAGTTCCAACATATGCGCAACATTTTCTATATTTGGGTACGATGACGTCGTCAGCGTAGGGGAGAACGGGGTCATTTGGCCGCCCGGGTCACTTTGGCCGCCCCATGCCTACGCGTTTTGACGGCCCCGAGCGATTATTTTTTAATATGGCACCACCCGCCATCATAAGAACTACTTTGGAAAGAAACTTATGAAACTCGGTCACGCCCAGTTTTTTGTAAAGCCAACGATATTTGAATTTTGGCTAAAAAACGTAACTTTTTCTTCTTTACGAAAAGTTGCATGGTGATCCTTATTTGGGTGACATCAAAATTTTAACTCTATTGGTAGAACAATCTGGTAATTCAGGGAGCTGTCTGACCCTTTTGCAAGTTTAAGTAACAATTTTCGCTTGTCTGCGGACCCCTTTTCCTAAAAATGTCATATTGGGGTAAATTGGCCGCCCCATACGGGGTGAATTGGCCGCCCAGTGACTCAGTTGATTTTTTGCCTAGTCTGCGAGCGACGCGCTGCGCTGGCTAAGTTCTGCCGCTGAGGATGGTAATGCGGCGCAGTCTAAATTCAAGGGACGACCTAACCAAGGTGTCCGCTGATTGGCTTTCGGCACCCGGCGGCAGATGGTGAACCCGGGACGTCACATCGTCTTCTACCAGGCGGCGCCGATTTTTCGTCGTGCCTAAGACGCCACCTTCACGCGGAAGAGCATTCGAAGCGGCCGGGATATCGCCGCTCAACCGGTTTTCGACGAAGAATTTGCGCCGACGGCGGTCTTCGTACCGGTTGTTGCCCCAGCGACGGCAGATCAGCACGCCGCGGCCTCGGCCGTGCTCCAGCTGCCTGCCGCGGCCGTGCTCCAGCCGCCAGCCTCGGCCGTGCTCCAGCCGCCAGCCCCGGGGCCGGCCGTGCTCCAGCTGCCTGCCGCGGCCGTGCTCCAGCCGCCTGCTGTCGCCTTGTCCCAGTCGCTTGTCGGAAGCCCATGGAGTCCATCCGACCACTTCCGCAGCTGCGCATCAACATTCAAAAAGCCGGTCGGGGCGCAAAGGTGAAGAACGGTGAAGCGCAGTGATGACTGGACATGTGTCCATGCCGTCGGGACAGTATTTTACAGTGGATGTGTTTAAGTGCTGGGTCGAAGACGGGGCCTGCTGGAATCGTTTTTATTTCATGTTTACGGCAGAGTTTGAAATAAACAAAAACTCGTGCACAAAGGACTTTTTGCAGTGCAATTGTCGTCTAAAGCAATCTACGATTTGGCAGCCATTACGGTTGGCTGTTGTTATCACTGGGCAGTGCTTAACTCATGAGTCGTAAGCTCGTAAATCAAATGTGGCTCATCACTTGCACTGATTCAAATGAATCGAGTGTAAGCTTAGTCCTTTGAAGAATTAAGGATTTTAGGCGAACCAAAGATGAGTCACGATGCTCATCATTTGGGTCAGCATTGGGGCATCTGGATCGTCACATCAGTCATGAGTCGAGTCAATCCAGAATCATGAGCTAAGCACAATCTTGGGCGTCAATGTTTCAGGTTGTCTCAGCTCTGTAGTGGGTATAGGTCTATGAATAACAGGCCCGGCCAAATGACCCCACTCCCCCGGCCAAATGACCCCGGTACCCGGGTCATTTGGCCGCCGTGCAGTCTTTGAAAGAACGATTAATTACTACCGAAACGAGATGTCCCGGCATGATGCAAGTAATAGGCCGGAACAGCAATTGAACGCCACACACCCCTCCATGAAGAAATCGACCAAACGTGCGCTGGTTTTCTCAAAATATCGTTTTTACAAAAGAGCGGCCAAATCGCCCCGTTCTCCCCTACCCATTTTTGGAAGGTGCGTACCCATATATAGAAAATCCTTCCAAAAATGGAAGGCTTTCTAAAAATGGAAGATTTGACCACAGTTTCCCCGACTGATGTGTGTACTGCATGTGTATATGTGAAATTTGTGTTGTAATGGTGCTCTAACCATTTTAGATTCTACAAAGAGCATCCCAAAATATATTCCAAACTTCTTCGATCACCACCTGGCACCTGTTACAATATGAGCAAAAATTAAGGTTTTAAACTACCTTTGCATTTGATATGATTGGATTTGCACTTTGCAGGTATCTGGTAATCTAAGTTCACGCATTCGGCATTTATTCCCAAACATCACATCCACAGTGACTACAATGGTTAACTTTAAAATTAACTGAAATAAAAAATGTAACCCATTATTCACTGAGTGAAAAAGGTAATTCCAACTGTTGCAACAGTTGAGTACTTTAATTCATGCTCCAAATAAGACGAGAAAAACATACAGGACTAGCACCAAATTAATGAAAACATCCAATAACGAAAAACAGAGTTGTTGCGGTAGGACTTAATTAAAACACAAAAAACTCCATTCACTAATGGGGTACTAGTAAAACTAAAAAAAAATCAGATAAGAAGACTAGCAGCATACCAATATATTGATAAATAATAAAATAACAGCAAGCAGCACCAACATCGACAAAAGCGACGCAGTAAGTAACGTTTCTTACCCCTGTTATGTCTGATGAAATTTCCTTTTCCTCAGCATAGTCGGTCACTCGCTCTAGATCCGCAGCACCACTGTCATGTTTTACAGATTTCTTTTGATTTTTCACATCAGGGCCGTCGTCAGCCATAATCAAACAAGAAAAACACCACACACAAAAGACACCACGCCGCCGCCAAGGAAGAAGAAAAGCAAATAGCAAACAAAGTTTGATTTGAGCATAATACGTCATCAAATACATCAAATGACGTCATGAAACTGTTTTCTTTGAGCGAGGGACACAGTGGCTACATTATGGTTCAATTGCCTTATCCTCGACTCGTAGCTAAAAAGTTCAAGCGAAACACTTGCTTATTGCTAATTTGAAGTATAGCTCTTCAGAAAAATATCATGCACCCAAAAAATAACTATTTGTCTATTTCCGTTGCGACACCTGATCACGATGCCTCATAGGTAGGCCTATCTTGGGCCTATCGACACATGATCTAGGGGGGCCGGGGGGGGGATATGGGGGAAGTCCAACGGACCCCCTCGGTTTTTCGCGAATAACTCGCGTAAAAAGCGGGTGATCGCGACGAAACTTTCCGTGCCCTTGAGTTAATCAATTTTCGCCAGTCTTCCGAAGAAAATCAGTGGTCTGGATCACGACTGTTCCCTGGCTCATTAAGTCTGCGAACTCAAGCAGTGCTAATCTAGATCTAGACTTAAATTACCTACTGTGGCAATAGGTCCTCTCGGATTTGCCGTTCCCATTGTGGCGTTAGGAACTTAAGCCTGTGTCGCGTCACACCCCTGGCCGCTAGCCACGCTGCGATAAGGCGCACATCGAGGGCGTATCGCGCCGGCCAGGGCCGCGGTCGGTCGGCACGTCGGTGGTACGACCTGTGACCGACCGGTGCGCGGCGTCACAGCGATGTGGGCCCTATCTCTCTATCGGTGGCACACGACCCTCATCGTCACGTGCCCGGAGCCAGTCTGAGGGGTGACGCGGTGAGCGCGACAGGGTCGCCATCCGACCTCTGTGCACGCGCCCTGACCTGGGGCACTGGCCGGTGACATTTGCAGTGATCCGAGGAAGTGACCGCTGACCTGGGTCACTGGAGAACCGTAACCGCGGAGAGTGACCTGCCCGAGTGATCATTGATTTACTACATAGTGATGCATGTCTTCGCAAGAGGAAGAAACCGATGACCTCCAGTTCTTTCTTCGAATAGCGTCGCCTACACGATGATTCAATGATTGATAATTATTTGTCAATTGTATTACAGAGTCTCAGAGATCTCGTCACCACTCTGTCGACTGTTACGTGTGTTCGTGAGCAGTGAGCGATTCGGAACATCAAGTTTCTGAAACGGCACAATCGGTACATCGAGTTTCGGTACCGGAACAATTGGAACAGCCAGCTTCGAAACCGGAACGATCGGAACATCATGAACGAGTAGGTTCCTGCGGCCGTGATGAGCCCGTGAAGTTGTGAGTCTTCCTATTGTTAGACGTGACTCGTGAGTCGGAACCGTGAGTTTTCACCAACTGAGGCTGTGAGTGGAGTTTGCTCCGACCGTAACCGTGAATGTGCTCTTATGGTAACCGTGAGACGGCACTAACCGTGAGTGTGCTTCAATCAGAGCCGTGAGTGTGCTCCGACGATAACCGTTTGGCGTCGCTAGCCGTGAGAGTGCCCCACCCGTGAGCGTTCTCCGTTCGTGAGTGTGCTCCGTCCGTGGATCTCTCCCTCGGTGTATCCGTGAACACTCGCCGCCATGTTCCGGCTAAAGCGTCAGCAGCAGGCGCCCGTGCTGCCGCTGCCGGTGCGCCGCCTCTGGACGGTGGGGGCCTCCGGCTCGGTGTCTCTGTCCTCCTACATCCTGGTCGGCTACTGCATCAACCAGGTGGCCGGCGCCGGCACCCTGGTCTCCGTCATCATCGCCAGCATAATGGCGGCCATCACAGGTGGGCCGACACGTATAATGGATGAGCAACACAGCCCGGCAAGACACGTCCACTGCAATGTCAATGTCAATCAATCGCCATTATTTATACCTAGGTATATAAGGTGGGCTGACACGTACGCCTTGGCTCTCGCAGCCCATATGGCACATCCACTCTCAGTGTCTTATAGTTACATGATTCAGGACCTTAACCGGCGCCAAAGTGCTCAGATTGTGTCATCGAGGCGAGGGAAGGACGTTTTAACGTCTATCCTCCACTGGGGGCATCTGGTCACGTGGTGACGCGTGTAAAAGGCGTTGGATAGAGTCGGAAATAATGAAAGCAAATCGGTCAGCTTTTAAGTCAGGTCATGAAATGTCACCAAAAGGTCATAGGTATTTTCCCTATTTTGACAATACAGGACAAAAAAGATTATAGCTCTAGGTATGTATGTAGTTTGAATTTCAAATGACCTTTTTCATCGAAAGTTAATTGAAATTGCTATAAAAAGCAATGCTCCCGCAACGTAAACAAGTGTTTGCAATTGCTTCGCGCGTAAAGAGAGAAAATTGTCAGATGTCGTGTAACTGATTTGTTAAACGTCTTTATCATTAACAGACTGTTTAACGTCTAGTAGACATTACGTCTAGTCTGAAATATGTCGTATTCTTTATATACAATTTATTTTTTTACTTTAGGCGCCCGAAAGACATCGGCGGTACGGGATAAAATTATTAACCCTATTCCTGGCGGGCTCCGCCGGGACAGGAAACTGGCGGGGGGGGGGCCGATTCGGTCCCCCCTTCTGATCTCAAAAACTACACATCGCAGCGACAAACGGTAAACGGCATCGGATACGCACGGTCAAGATCTACAATTTTTACTGAGGTCATTTTCAGGTCAGGTCAAAGATGACGTCACAGGGGTCGAAAAAGTCAAAATGGCGGCGCTAGATATGGAGAGTTTTTCTCGAATAACTTTCGAACTAGTCAAGATAGGAACAAACTAAGGGCATCATCGTGATCCTCTCGTCAATCCGCATCGAATGATATATATGTTGACCTCGAAAGGTCAAGGTCAAAGGTTGACCTCAGGTCACGTGACCCCGAGGTCATCATGTATATCATTCGATGCGTCTTGACGAGCTGAACACAATGAGACCATCCACGCGTCTGTATCTTGTTCCTGTACGGAGTTATTGGCCAAAAACCTTTGGTGACCTTTGATGACGTCACATGACCTCACAGCTGCCCAACAGCAAAACAGACCTCAAGGTAGTGAAGGTTGATCGTATATGAAGTCATGTATGGTATATGGGGCCATTCCGACCCGTTTTAGTGGTAAAAACAGGGAGTTGATTTTTCCCCCATTGACTTATAATGGGGAGGTCGCGAAACTGACCTGACCTTAGGTCACCGATATCAAAATTCCGAGATATACAAATTGCACATACTGGTACCCTAACTAAAGCCTGAAGAGAAGAAATTGATCGGTCAAAAACTCTAGCTCTGGCGTGATTGCAAACTTTTCTGAGGTAGGGTCACTAAACCGCCTCTGGTGACCTGACCTGAGGTCAGATCAACTCAAAATTTTCAGACATGTTGCTACACCGAGTGACCGATCGCTTTGAAACTCTTAGCGATTGATAAGAGCAGCAGCAGGTTCGAAATGTTCATCTCGGAATTTTGATATCAGTGACCTAAGGTCAGGTCAATTTAGCCATCTCCCCATTGAAAGTCAATGGGAAAAAATTGAAATGTGCCTCTTTTGGACGAACGTCATTCTAAGCACTCTTAGAGTCTTAAACACTGAAATAGGTACAGGTAGCCATGACACACTGAACATGAAAACTGCACCCGTGGCAGCTGTTTACACCTCTGAGGTCATCTCAGGTCACGAATGGTAGCTAATAGTTTTTCGAGAATAACTTTTGATAGAGATATGCGGGGCACGGGGGCCATCCCCTCTGAAGGAGAAGAATAAAATAAAATAAAATAAAATAAAATAAAATAAAATAAAATAAAATGAAATAAAATTAGAATAAATAAAAACAGCTGCACTACACCCCTCAAAAATAGTGTGGCAAATCCGAGGAGTTTTCCTTTTTGGAGGGGGTACGACACTAGGCCGCGACTCGTGGCCCCTCCCTGAGCAAAATCCTGGCTTCGTGCCTGGCTCGTGCAACGTTTGAGTCAAAAGTTACTGCAGGAAAAATAGGATCCGCAAAAACGTCTATTTTAGCAGTGTTTGTCCATGCAGGCAAAACCGTTCACGTTAGGTAAAAAAAAAACCTGGGAGAAATACTCGAAAACCCCTCGCCCCACCGATCGGTTTTCTACATACCCACGCCCCGGCCGAGTGGGAGGAGGGGCGTGTATGCATGCCACCCCCGTCGCCGCTTCGCCACTTATAGAGCCAGAGCCCCGGGGGAAAAAACGAGCGTGTGCGCCATTACCAGGCGCCGCGATAGGTATCCCGATTTTACTGTCTCAGGCCATTGTCAGGCCAAGTGGCCCAAGGCACTGGTTCGGTTTTTGGTAAATAACTTCGCAAAAATGGCCGCAGAGCCGCGATGTTGGCATCGTTGTGTTCGCCTAGCTCAGACGCGTCGAATAGTATATTTTTATTTGGTTGAGGTCAACTTTAGGTGTTGACCTCGGATCACGGTCAGGTCAGAGCCCCTCAGTTCACGAAATTGGTCGAAAGAGGTCATGTCGCATATCATTCGATTCATCAGGTCTTCAAGAGTCCATTGGTGGCTTTTTCGGCTCTAGCTCAATTTAATCGGGAGGTATTAGCGAAAAACGGTTATGGCCCCAGTGACGTCCTAAATGACGTTACGCAAGGTCAATAATGCATAAGTGAGGCATCGGACCTTTATAATAACATCTTCATATAAAATGACAACTTCAATATTTACCTATCGGCTTACCTACATATAATGGTGAGGTCACGTGACGGACCTGGCCTCATGTGACCTTTAGGAAAAAATCCTAGATATACCAGTTGTGAGAACTCTAGACCTCTAGAACTAAGTCCTGTAAGTTTCATCTCTCTGTGAAAGTTTCTCTGGCACTGAGGGCGTTGCAAAGTTGCGACATATGAGGACCATGCAGAAGTTCACTTATGACGTCATAGGTCAGTGACGTGACTTGACCTGAAAATGCGGTTGGTGTCACAAATGATCCGGCTTGAGCCGAAAGTCAGGTAGGGGAGAGTGGGGCAAAGCGGCCACCCGGGGCAAACCGGCCACCCATCGTTTTAGCCCTTCATAGCTCGCGTCAGTTCCAATTTATGGTTTCCAATTATACTTCTCTTCACGGTCGTTCGAATGAGCCAGACCGGGGTTTCAGGCCCATCATTATTGTTCTGTGAAACACGGAAAAGCATTTCTTGCCAGGTTACCAACTATGTTTACAATTTTTAAATGTTATGTTATTCCATAACCGTTTGGAATTTTAATAAGCGTTCTTGTCCATACATTGCGTGGTGATCGTACATGTATTCTACCAATTTTAATGTTTTTTACCCCACTGATAGCTAAGCTGGAATATTTTTGTCTCGGACGGTATGCGCCGGGCAAAGTGGCCGGGGCAAAGTGGCCACCCCCAATTGGCCATAAGTTGTTTCCATCTGGATAAAAACATTATTTATATTCAAATGTGTCGTCATGCATTCATCTTGCCCACTCTTCAGTTGCATGAGTTACCAAATAATGCAATTAAGTGTTTTTTCATGTAAATCCTTTCTTTGTTTACCTACAGGTGGAAGATGATAAAGTAAACATCCATCCTCGCTTAACCTTGTCACCATCAAATACCCTAGTCGTACACGAGGCAACTATTTTGTTTCTCATATCGGGACTTGAGAAGACGCCGGTGGCCGCTTTGCCCCAGGGTATGGGGCAAAGTGGCCAATATGCATAGGTTTAACGTTTTGTCAATATCTTTCATATGTGAACGCCTTTGGAAAAAAAAATGCAGTTGAAATAAAAGGCAACTTAATAGGGATCACATTGGTATAGAAAGAATCTTTCCAAGTTTAAAAATCAAGCGTTGGCATCGTGAGAAGCGTTAGGTTGGCCGCTTTGCCCCACTCTCCCCTACATGCTAAGCTTCAGCTCTGTATCTCTGGCGTGGTAGGAGCTATCGCGAAATAAATCCTATGTGCAGGGGCGCCCTCCCCCCCTCGGCCGACGAGGGTTAATCATAACATATCATGAGCATAAGAATTAAGATTATTTCTCAACACAACAATATTATTAATGATGCTCAAACATGCCATTGCTCCCATTACTTAAGGTCATACTTTTGATACCTACAAAGCTAAAAAGGAACAATATATTCCTCAGTGTTCAGGGACGCTCTGAAAGCAATCACAGCTATGATTTGACAATGAATGAGTAAAAATAAAAACATAGTCACTCCTATGTGTGAAAACACAGCCACCTACCGTTCACAGTCATCTTATCTACACGCTGCCGACTTTCCGCGCGATAAAGTGGCGTTCCCTGCGTGTTTTTCGCTGATAGCTGAGTCACCCGGCCTCTCACACCTGTTAGCAGGGTGGTCGACATAGATAGCTAGTAGGCAGACGGCCTTCATCGGTAATCTCCCTCCACATTGGACAAGCGCCGTTTTATGGTCATCGGAAGCCGACACAGCTCAGTGAGATAAGCAACCATATTTTGGTCCTTGGGATTGAGTCGTTCTATTTTCTGCGTTCAGGCGTACCGATTTGAAAGACGAATGGGATTAAAATCGCTTGAAAAAATATCAGCCAATTTCAAATGAACATTTTTAAGGAACATAGGACATTTTTACTAATTACTGATGTAGGCACTAGGAACTATGAACATCATTTAATGGGAATACAATGACAGCTTCCTAATTTTGAATTTAACATTGTTTTGACTTGAGTGTCTCATGGAAGTAAATAGCGTTAAATTAAAATAAACATGTCGCATTCTGAGCGAACAGGTGGGTAAATATGACCGCGCTGACCGCCTTGTACATAAAGCCGTGCATTGCGGCACAGCATCCATGCGCCGCGGCACAGTATCCTATGTGTGTTGTGCTGGGACTCTGAAGGCTTGTAAATACGCTCTGTGCTCACTGTTGTGACCCTCACACTGCAGAAGCGCATAGCTATCGATCACTGGATTGTTGTACCTACTTTGTGTAGGTATCACCATTCACCATTCATTCACCAGAAAGGCGACGAAAGCATCGTGCCTTGCGGAACAGTACCTATCCGAGTATTGCGGAACAGCATTGAAGCATAGATCGCACAGAAAATCTCTTGGTAACAGACAGGCGTAGCTTCCTCATGGATGCAGGTCAAACGAATGTACTTACATATGAGATCTGATCCAAGCTGATCTGTCAATCCGTTCTGATCTTCCGTACCCGTGCTGATCTCCCTATATACTCGTGCTGATCTCTGAGACTCGTGCCACCCATGCTGATCTCTCCTGTCCGTGCTGATCTCTCCTGTCCGTGCTGATCTCTGCCCCTGCTGATTCTCCACTCTTTGTGCCTCCTCAGGCGTGGCCTACGTAGAGCTAACACAGAGGACTCGAGTCACCGGCTCGCCATACAGCTTCTGCTACACCTACCTGGGAGAGCTGCCTGCCTTCTTCGTCGGGTGGGCGGTCGTCGGAGAGTGCACAGTCGGTACGTTTGGTGGTTTGGAACTCATGTTATTCATGATGATGGGCATGTCAAATAACATAAATCATATTAAGTTCAGCGCCCCGTAACATTAAAATATTCGTAGCATATACTGAAATGCGTCACGGTTCTTTACTCCTTGCGTGTAATGTGCTAGCCCCCAATTATAGGCTCATTTATGTCACAGGGGTAGGTATGTTATATGCATGCTACGGTAAACGTAAACTCGTGCTTGTCGCCTATGATCTAACACTCAGACAGCGACTTAACTCGTCAAATATCCAGCTGACGTCGCATTCTCTCTCAGGGACTGCTGTGATGGGGAAGGCCATCACTTATTACTCCGACTTTCTGACTGACGGACGTCTGAACACCTCACTATACAACTGCTGCCAACTGGCCGGCGAGGTAGACATACGACTCTGGAACTTCTTCGACCCCATCGCCATGTCTGCGGTCATCATAGTAGGAGGTCAGTTGGGTAAAAAAGGGTGACACATGATAGTCATGCTGCCAGAATAGCGAGAGTTTAGTTGATCTCTTATTGGAAGCATGATGTTCGCTAGGTTTATTTTTCTTTCAAGAAACTCTTATAATTGTTATTGACGGCTAAGGCGTGTTTCTCGACATGTCTCGGCTATTGCCTATTTATATCCAATTTTCAGTCGTATGCGCAATCAACAGCAGCGTAGCGTGCAAGATCAACCAGGGTCTGCTGCTGGTCAACTTCGTCACCGTCGTCGTCACCATCATCTTCAACAGCACCGAGGGTGAGTGCCTCACGAACATCGCAGCAGCCACTGAAAGACGAACTCGGGAAACATTCTGTTGCATCATACCATCGGCTAGTGTGCGACATGACATGTTTCGAATTTAATCCCCTTCCGGAGTTACCAGTTTTCTTCAAACAGTGGAACAAAATTTGAAGAAACAAGAATTTGAAGAAATAAGAGAACGACAGTTAAGACGTTTTTTTGCTAGAGTGTACATCATCAAAATTTGTTTCTGAAAACATAATCCCTGACTATATTGAAGAGATGAACTGCTCTTTGCAGGATCCACCGACAGCTGGAACCCACCCGGAGGGAATGGCAGCATTTTCTTCCCAGAAGATTTCGGGGCGTTGGGTGTTTTTCGAGCCAGCGCTATCTACATGCACGTTTTCCTCACCTTGGCTACAACGGCTACATTGGGTAAGCGATGACCACGAGGATTTAGCCTATCCTCTAGAGAAATACTTTTTCACTTAACATGCGAGCTACGTTTACGTATCTTTGATATTTAGGCATAGTTATAGAATCATTACTTTATGCCTGTGTAGCTAACCCTTGACTAAAAAAAAAAAAATCCGTTCGCTCGAATCGTCCCACCGCCTGAGCGACGGCTCCCTTTGTCCTAAAGTGATGGGTTTATCTGTCGACACATTGGCCAGGAGCACCTGCCATGCCTTTATCTGCACACTGAATGATTCTCCCCCCTGCCGCGCCGTCGGGCAGCTACGCAGCACCGCGGGGCCAAACACTCGTCAGCCATCAGTATGGTGGTGACCACCCTCGTTGCCATCATCGCCATCTCGAAGACGGTCAGCGTCAGTCTGCTGGAGCCCTACGACAAGCTGGTGGGTGCAACGATGGCGCATCTCTACAATACATACAGACTTACACCAATGCACAGACCACAGATACAACCGACGTTCGATTGTCACCGTCACCTTGTATTTTTATGAAAACTTACTCATAAAGAAATAATAAATTGCTCGAGCTACATTTCAACGTGCGAATTTCAGTGTCGACAACTGTTGATACTAGTCACTTAAAATGACCTTAACCGGAACTAAGCAATGCTAACATACACTCGTAGATGGATACAAACGCTGATCATGATTAAAAAGGATGTCGAATGACTCGGATAGTAAGTGTCACACAATGATACGAATACTGACCAATAGGATACCGAGTACCGACCAACCAATGCTAGTCAATTGGATACTGATCGACCACCCACTGACGTATTTTGCTGCTGGAGGACAACCATTCGACTCACGCCGGGTTGTGTCGGCGTTCCAGAAGCCCTTCACTCCAGTGGCCTCGTACATGAAGAATGTAACCGAGCACAACTATCAGTGGGTGGCCAACGTCAACTGTCTCGGCGCCATCGTCGCCTCTACAGCCGGGTGAGAAGCCTCAACAAAACACATCCCTGTCCTGCTGACGTCTAAGATAGTAAAAGTAGTTTCTTAAAAGATTATAAAAGACACAGCTCTAAGGCTCTTGTCTCTTGAGGACAGTAAAGGTAAGTGTCAGTACATATAAGAGGCGATTAATGGAAAAATTTATGAATTAATAAAAGCCGATAATTTGCACAAATATGCACATTGCAAAATGCACAGCCGGAAGGCTTTTATGCGACGACATCGTCAGTGTGCATACGAATGAGGTCTTACACTCGACCATGCAGCTTAGTGTTAATTGATCCACCCGGCTCCCACAGCACTCCTCGGTTTGCTCATTATATGTATATTACATACTCTCATCTACCGATCCACCCGCGCCTCCCCGCAGCATCCTCAGCATGCTGGTGCTCTCGGCCAACACGCTGGAACAGATGGTCTCTGACGGTCTGCTGTGGTCCAAACTGGCCGCACGCCGACCGGCCATCTCACCGGCTACAACCACGCTCATCACCACCGTCGTGGCAGGTGAGCTGGGCTGAGACGGGCAGGTGAGCTGGGGTGAGACGGGCCGGGTGAGCTGGGGTGAGACGGGCCGGGCGAGACGAAACAGGTGAAGCGTGGGAGGGGGGACAGAGAAGGGTATAGTGGAGGACAGTTAGGGTTCAGATTAATGGAGTAGTATTGAAAAGGGCAGCCCACTCAGCGACAATGAATGAATGAATGAATGAATGAATGAATGAATGAATGAATGAATGAATGAATGAATGAATGAATGAATGAACAACGAAGGAACGAATCGATGAATGAATGAATGAATGAATGAATGAATGAATGAATGAATGAATGAAAGAATGATCGAATGAATGAAATTGACCGTGCAGCACTCGGCTCGAGGGACCGTCTAGCAGTGCAAGGCTTGCTCCGAAGAAACCTTTGCCCTTGTGTTCCATTGGCGTGTTCTGGCAGCCAGCACTGCCGTATTGTGCTCTATGATGGTGCACTCTGCTGGTGTGCAATAAAAACGTGCTCTGAGTGTATCCGTTGGTGTTTTATGTTCTTGCGGTCCACCGCTGAGACCGTCTAACCCTGCTGACAGCTATCGGGGCGGCGCTGCAGGACTACGAGGGGCTCATCCTGAGCCTCTCCTCGGGCACATTCCTAGTGTTCCAGGCACTCCTGATCGCTGTCATGGTCTCCAGGTTAGTTGCGCTGCTAATCAACTGCTTATGCGTAACATAACTAATTCATGGCTTTTGGTATCGATTTCATGTTCTTGTGGGTCATATTAATTAACTATAATTAACTTGTATACATCCTATTGGAACCAGTACCTACCTGTCATATGTATTTTCCAGATTCACGAAATTGACCATTTACTGGTTAGCTCAACCAGTAAACGTTTACGTTACTGGTTAGTAAACGTTTGCGACCTAAATACATATTTTAACTTGGTCAGGTTTCAAGTGGTTTTTGTTCTTTTTTTTTCGCGTCCCATACACTATTCATTCTGCAGTTAAGTTGCAGCGTCAAAAACTTTCATTCCAATTACCAAGTGTCACTATTAACATCTTAGCGTTAGTGATTTCAATATTTCTATGCTGTGATCGATTACCTTTTGTATCATATGTGACAAATACTTTTGCGTTGGCACAGTATTTTACGCAGCTTGCGGTTTAACAAGTAACTTTGTAGGAAGAGCTGAGCATGGTCTAAAGATAAGGATTAACAAACGTGTTGCTTTGATGTTCCTTTTCAAATGTTTATTTTGTCCTGCATTACAGATCTCATGAAAGCAAAGAGACGGCACTTCTGATAGTGTTGAAATTTACATGGCTGCTTTACTGTGAGTACTATGCTTGTTGTAAGCGTGGGGTGTAAGTGTGGAGCGTGGAGTGGGTGCAATAATTCATTATTGTACCAATGCAATGGTAATTTCTTTTGATGCCCGCGATGTGTTGAACAACTTATATTTAACCCTCACCGGGCCAGGGATTTTCCATAGCGTGAATGGCCGGGGGGGGGGGAGGTATGACCCCTGGCGATGCTTCTGCGTTTTATATACCGAATTGGTGAGATAATTGAACCAATAGATAAAATACATCCTCTGTAGGTACAAATTTTGTGACAATAGGTCAATAGTTAGGGATGTGGGGTGGGCGTAAACATAAACCCGCGTATGACTGGGGGGGGGGGGGGCTCTACAGAGCCCCTCCCATTTTTCGGCAATATTTTCTAAACCGTTGAACGGATCAACACGAAACTTGCAGTACCCTCAGCAGCATTAATTTGACACTTTGTGTTTAAATTTCAACTTTCTAGCTACCAGTAACCATAGTTTAGCCTTAAATGACGTCAGAATGACGTCATGTCCGCCGATTTTGATGCAAAGTATTGAATAACGGCAAACGCTCTCAAGAGCTCCGTTTTAAAGCTAGATCCAATTTCTTGGCATATGTGGACTACAAATACACGTAGCTATCAAACTGTTATCTCGAATTTCCGAAATTATAAAATTTTGAAAAATATGTGTTTACAATTAACATTTTCGAAAAGTTTTCAATGTTTCGCAAAAAAAAACAGAATATATGTGATAGAACACACACTGATAATCGCCTCTAGCAAGATGTAGCCCAATATCTTCAAAAATGGCCAAGTTATTTGTAATAGGTATTGTCAAAATTATCTGCTAGGCACATCTTTGTTGCAAAATTTAATTTTCAAAATTTGACCTTTTATGACCTGAAAGTGACCTGATCTCCGGTAAATTCAGCTGAAAATAGCCTCAAATGACGCAAAAGACATTGTTTTTTAAGTAGGTACGAGCAGGTAGGTATAGGAGTAAAATGGACCATTAAACATACGTCACGTGACCGATACCTACATGATATACAATTTTCGTGACATAGGATGACCTGACCTTGACCTGAAAAAAAAAAATCGAAGTAAAAGTTCATTACCCACAGGGTATCTAAGGCATATATCAAGGAGCTCGTAAACCAAAAATGAGCCTAATCGGACTTGTCAGCCGGTGGTCAGAGCTTAAATTGTGAACAAACAAAAATGCTGATAATCTTTACTTTGACCTGACCTGTGACGTCATCGGTGACTTCGAGGTCAATGAAAATAGGTTTCGCTCGACAGTTTTTTACAAGGCTATCAGACGCCGTTTGAATTATGACGATCGGCGCGGTAGTTTCGGAGATAGGAGGGGGGGGGGGGGCTCTGAAGAGCCCCCCAGTCACTCGCGTTAAGGAAAATACCCCAGTCATGCGCGGGTTAAGCAATCGTCATTGCTATCCTTGAACACCCTTTGGGGCTGGAGGTTGAATCAGCCCTTCTCGTCCAGCGAGGTTTGATTTTAGGAGGGAACTGGGAAGTACGCTATACAGTGATGCACACTTGATAGATTCTCCTGTTTTGTGCACGCGGTGGCCGGTGCCGCTCAGTGCTGAGACCGCCCCCGGTGCGACAGTTTTCGTCTCTCCGGCGCTGGTGATGGTGACCAGACACCTGGGTGAGAAGGTGGCCCAGTCGGCTGTGCAGGGCCTGCTCTCCGGCCTGGTGATGCTCTTTTTGCAGCTGGCCATCAACTGGAAGCATCTCGGGGTCAAGGTCAGTCTCTATGATGGGCGCACGACCCTGTCCAAGACGATAGGTCAAGTGACACGGTAAGATATAAATAGGACTACAAGGTCTGCGTTCGCTGACCTTGACCAAGGTGTTCAGGCCCGTCTTCTCTGCGGTCGACACCGTTTCGGCGTTCAAACGTTGCCTTTTCTCTAACCGACATGGAGTGCCACCCTAATGAACACCACACATTACGGCGGTATATAAGCCGCCAGCCCATCTATGACTCATTCGGCATTTTGATGCCCAGCGGGAGGTGTGGTCTGCTGGCAGCTAGTAACGATGCCGCCACGCTTCGTGACGCGACCCTTCTGTCGCTACCGCAGGTTGTGGTGGTGCAGGTTGGCACCAGCGTCGTCATGGGTTTCTCCAGCTTTCTGATGTACCAGCTGGACGACTTTGCTTGGTACCGCCTGTTCATCTGGACTTTCATAGGTGAGATGTGTTTTGAAGTCTTGATATGTATTTCTTTCCTGCTAAGTGCACAAAGAAAATATACCAAAACCCTTATCCAACAATCTCACAAATGTTTAAGACACGGCTGCGTTTTCAGGGCATCAAAGTCTGCTCGATTATCTAGTGTATTATGTCCTACTTTGTGAATCTGAATCTGGAATGTACCAAGTAGATTTGCAAACCACTTTTCTCACTCGGGACAGCACGGCATGCCGCTCCGTTTCTCAAGTGACATGCTAAAAACCCTCGTGTGCTGGATGTCGACAGGTTTGCTGATTTACACACTGTACGGCTACCGCAAGTCGCACTTGGGACGAGGCATCGTCGACCTGGTCGTAGTGCCCGAGGACGACTGTGTCCGGAGTCTGGAGGAAGGTCTCGACAACGCCGGCTTTCAGGACGAACTGGCAGAGTTCGGCATCGGCTGGCGACGGCGAACGCACCGCAGCATCGGCGGACACAGCTACGCCAGCGCGCGCTCACGCCACAAGGAGAGCTTCCACAGCGCACGTGAGGAGGACTTGCGTCGCCAGAGCTTCCGCAGCGTCAGAGATGACGATGAGCGCAAAGCGAGCTTCAAAAGCTTCTCTGAGAGCTACCGAAGCAGCCGCCAGCCGTCGCTGGTTGCGTACAGTATCAGCAGCGGTGAGCCGAGTGCCGGCCCTCGGGGAGATCAGCCGGATGGAAGGCGTGCCTCACGCGGTCCTCGCCATCCGGGAGGCGCCAGGGACAGCTTCAGGAGTGTCCAGTCATACACCAGCAAAGCCAGCTTCCGGAGCGTGAGGAGTGACGACGGATGGAGGAGCTCGATTGGCGGCGCTTCAAGTGGCCGGCGCAGCCGACTCGCCTCTGACAGCTGGAGGTCCGCCTCCTCAGGAGATTCGCGTCGGTCCAGCAGCAGACGGCGACGACGCGTTTCGCCACCCAGACATGCTACAAAGCCAGACGCGCGTGCTGTTCCGGCGGAGCGTTCCGGCAGCCCGGTCACGTCCCGTAAAGCCACCGCGGCAGACCTCACTCGCACGCCCCCGCCAACGCGACGCACCGCCACAGCCGAACGCGCGCGCACACCACCGCCCACACCCAGCGGTCGAGGCCAGGTGGAGATCCTGATCAATCCACGACGACTCTGCGAAGAGATGTACCCTACGTCCGCTGCCCCTCCTAGAACCAGCACTGCGCCTGCTGATCTCTTTCTTAGTGGGGAATCCCATGACGATGGCGGCAACCCGCGGGAAGCCGCAGACAGCATATCTCCGATAAATCACACCAAAGACGGTATTGAAAAACGTCACGAAAGTCGTGTCGGCGACATGGAATACACATCCTCAGATTCAACATCCTCGGAGTCTGACAACGACGCTGAGCGCCTGAGGTACTCGGAAGCTGACATTGACGCCGCTTCGATTACGTCGAACTGTGGCAGCAAACGGCCCTCCTCATCTGGCAGTAGCAGCGACCGGGCTAGGGCATCACTGCCGGCCCCGAACCCCGGCGCATCGACCATCCAGAGGCTGCCTGACCTGGGACTGGGCGACCTAGCGCCCGTCCCTCGAGGAAAACGCTCACTGTCGATGTCCGACATTTCGTACGACGATGAGTCTGATTCTGCGCCAGCCATGAGGTCAGATCGCCGACGAGGACAGCCCAAAGTAAAGCAGGTCCCAGCAATTACGACGAAAGAAGAGCAATATATCAGCGGACGCAGCTCGGAAAGTTCTGATGAGGTTCCTCGCATTCACAGTGATCCAATGGGTGCAAACCATGCTGCCGCCCGAGGACAGACTTCGCCAAAAATCAAAGCAGCCTTAACTTCAGACCTAAACTTATCTCCTAAACTAACCGGCGATTCCCACAACAGCCAGGTGAAACGGACTAAACCACACTTAGAGAGGTACACTAGCTCTGCCAGCTCCAGCACCGAAGACGACGATGAGCAGCGGCGTTCAGCTCCGGTGCCCAGCTTGCTTTATGGCCAACCGCGTAAGTCATCGGACCATGCGATCCAGGCTGTCAGTGCTCCCACATACAGAGATGCTATACTACTAGATCTGGAAGGACAAGTACGTGATAGTCGCTTCCCCGAGGAACATCATTCCCCGACACTTAGTGGTGGTCGTAAATCAGAAGCAAAGCTTCCCGATCTACCTGCGATTGGAAAGGGCCTTACAAAATCAGACACGAGCTCAAGCACTGGCAGTGTATCATCCGAAGACATCAAAGACGATGGTATAATGGACAGTCAAGTAGGTAATAACTCTCCTAGCAGCCACGGGACGGATGAAGGCACATCATCTGAGGAAAACGAGGCGGACGACGTGGCACCTAGATCGGACCTCGGCAGACGTTCGTCGTATACTGCGACTGGTGATGAAGCCGGTTACCGCTCCGGAGAGGAAAGCTCCGAGTTCGAGGAAGAAGAGGTGCAATTGAGTCACTCAGACCCTTCGGTGGGCTCAAATTCACAGAGTTCGCAGGCCGAGTTACATGACCAGGGACAGTCAAGCGCCAAGTCCTCTATAAACGCCTCGGAGAGAGGTTTGGATACCTCGAGTGATTCTGAGGTTGATTCCCGGCCCGCGAGGCCCGTTTCAGTGGCGGCTGCGCTGGCTGACGGTCCCCCCAGCCCGAGTCCTGAGGATCAACAGGACATGCGGCCGGTGGTGCGACGTCAGATGCGGCTGCCGCACGTCCCGGCCGAGGCGCGCTGGCTGGCTCGCACCCCAACACCGCCGGGGCTGCTCTCAGCGCTCGGAGTCAGTGATGGACCGCGATTGGCACTGGAACGGAGCTCCAGCTTGCCCAGCCTCTCCAGCAGCACTGGCGACGACGGAAGCCGCAGCGAACGGGACTCACCCCCGCCTCAGCAGCGATCGGGATTAGACAGTGGCGGAAGTCATGGCGGGCTGGGGCCGAAGAGGGCACAAAGTCTGCCTGATGTGAGCGACAGCGGCAGCGACGACTCGAGAGCGCCGGGGTCGGAACTCGATCACGACAGTAGCAGCGACGATGAACAGGTGGCGGTACCTCACGGACGAGCGCAGCCGCCGCCGGCGCGTCAGCGAAGCTCGAGTTCTGGCAGCGATGGGACATCCAGCGATGGGGGTTCGCCAGTGCCACTACGCCGCCGCCCTCCACTTGACACGCGGCCATCCCCTGACCGCACCGTGTCCCTCAAGGAGGCGCCGCCGCCGCCGCGCAATCCTGCAGCGCGTCTGGGCAGTCTGCCACCGCTGAACCCCGAATACCGCGCAATCTATCGACCGGCCGAACAGACAAGCCTCCCTCAGGGCGCCGGCAGGTAGCGGCCGGCCGTTCAGCGCGCGCGCGAGACCTTCGTGCACGCCGATAGCGACGACGAGCGCGCGCAGAGTTTCGTGGCGCCTCCGCTCCAGAACCCACCGGCGTTGGACGGGCTGCAGGTGCACCCGGAGTTGGACCGACTGATCCGGCGACTGGGCGGAGCTGGCGCAACCCGGCCGACCGTCGCGTCTCCAGTGGCCCTGGCCGGAGCCGCGGCGGGGACAGGGGCCGCAGCCACTCCCGCCGCCTCTCTGACCCGACAGCCGCAGCCGACCGGTCAGGAAGACAGTCCTGACCTCATATATTGCTGAGAAAAGGGTCAGTTAGCATGTCTTGGAGGGATCCTGCGCATGCTTGATCGTGACTCGGGACCAATAGGGCATAATTGTGTATCTTAGCGCGGATGATGTGCATTGTAAGTGTATTTTAGCGAGGTCCGAGGATGCTGTGCATTGTAAGTGCGTTTGAAGTATGCTAAGTGTGAATTAGCCATATCGTCTGCTCCATATCTTCCGTAGTCCGTATGCCTCGTTCTACTCGCCCCTTGCCGTATGTTATTTGACCTCCGATGACGATGAGAGTAGGTATGTTATTTTAATAAGTCTTGCACGGTGACGTGCTGTTTTCTGTGCGTTTTCCCGTAAAGAATAATTAGCGACTGTGCCATTATGACGGATACTTATAAGCACAAGCGTTAAACACTGCTTTTTATGGAGAGGCTGGTTGTGGAGTCGGGACAAGTGCGGTCATTTACTGCCAAGTTGATAATTAAAGGGACACTCCCACCTTAACATTAGTTTTGAGTTGAGATAGCCAAATTGGTGGCCATGGGCTGCAAATACCGGTTTGGGCACTCACAACATCGAAAAATGCTTTAATTCGAAGATATGGAATTTCAAACTTGCAGTTTTCTGATTCTAAGGGGCTAATGCATTGGAATGCCCCCTTAGAATTTGTGACGTCAGCGGAGATCTAACGATTTTTAAATCTTAGACTAAAACCATCGTTAACACGTGGTGGTATACGCTGCTTTGCGCGCAACGTCTGCCGCACTTTAAGGCTGCCAAATTATTGCTTCCAAATAAAGTCGCTAGTAACAGGGGAGATCCCAAAAAGTAAACAAAAGTAAAAGCCTAATATCTTGAAAACCAGTGAATATTTTTCGGTGAAATTTGGTAGATATTCGTTTTCGCTCTTTCTGAACCAAGGGACATCACTTTCATGCCAATTCATTAACTTTTTTGAAGGTGGGAGGGTCCCTTTAACTTGGAATGTGCAAGGTCGGGTGTAAAATCTTTTTTTTACCATCACAACGGCGCCAGCGAAAACTCATGGGACCATTTAACTGGGACATGACTCGTATCCATATGCATTATGTGTCTTACATCGATTTAAGAAGTGATTAATGATGATTCTCGTCGATGCGTATGTGGACACTCACAACTCCTGGCTGCCACGGTTACAATCAAGCGGTTATTCTGAGTGATTATGTTTCCGTGCATTACAAGGTGATCAAATAAATACAAACGCTACTCCGTCTTTCGTGGGTAAGCTTTCATTGGCCGGCATCTGACTCAGAGCAAGGACTCTGTATTAACCCTCGCCGACCGAGGGGGAAGGGGGTTGGACGGGTGCCACCCCCATTTTTTTCGCGATAGCTCCGAACACGCCGACGATAGACAGCGCTGAAACATGGCATACCTATCTTTTGATCCAAGCCGCATCTTGTGACACAAACGGCATTTTTAGGTCAGGTCAGGTCACTGACCTATGACGTCATAAGTGAACCTCTGCACGGTCCTCAGATGTTGCAGCTAAGCTACATCTAAGCTTCATCCACAGGGCAGGGAGATGAAGCTTACAGGATGTAGTATCTTCCAGAGATCTCACAACTTGTGTATCTCAGATTTTCCCCAAAGGTCACATGAGGTCAGGTCGGTCACGTGACCTCATCATTTTAAGTCAATGGGGGAAAAATTAAACTACGTTTTTAGCGCCGGGAACGATCTCAAACTATCTCAAGCACACGGAATCGTGATTTCTTCCATGTCTTGCAAGGTCCGATGCTTCACTGTTGCATTGATGACCTTGCGTGACCTTCATTTATGACGTCACTTGGGTCATACAAGTTTTTCGCCAATAACTCCCGATCAAATTGAGCTAGCGAGTCTAGAAAGCCACCAATGGACTCGGGAAGACCTATCATATCGAATGATATGCGACATGACCTACGGCGACCAGCTTCATGACCTGGGGGAGGGGGGGGGGGGCGCTGACGTGACCTTGACCCGAGATCAACACTTCAAGTTGACCTCACTCAAACAAAAAGTATACAATTCAAAGCGCCTGAGCGAGGCAAACACGATGATACCAAAATCGCGGCTGTGCGACCTTTTTTTTGCGAAGTTATTTACGAAAAACTGAGCCCGTGCTTTGGGTTACTTGACCTGATCTCAGAGGTCACCGGTTGACCTAATACCTTAGCCCGCGCCCCACTGGGGTCTGTGTAACTATACTTGACATCGAGGTCATCGATGACGTCACAGGTCAGCTCAAAGTAAAAATTATCGATGTTCGGATTGTCCACATTTTGGGCTCTGGCTGCCGTCTTACAGATCAGATCAGGCTGATTTTTGGTTTACACACTCGCGAACAGATGCTTTAGATATCCTGAGGGTACCAAGCTTGTACTTTGATTTTCAGGTCAAGGTCAGGTCATCACAGGTCACGGAAATCTTATATCATAAGTCGGTCACGTGACACATGTTTTATGGTCCATTTAGGCCATAGATTTCGAATTCGATGTCGTTTATGTCATTCAAGGTCATTTTGAGTTAAATTTAGCATAGGTCAGGCCACTTCCGGGTAAAAAAGGTCAAATTTTAAAGTTGACATTTAAAAAAAAAAATGTCTATCGGATGCAGTTTGAGCTCAGGAACACGATGGTGCTATTAATGTTGGTATACGATGTCAAATTCGTACTGAAAAATTAATTTGAAAAAATTAAAAGTTGTGAACTTTTTGCTATAATGCGTAACTTGGCCATTTTTGAAGATATCTGGCTAAAACTTGCTAGAGTAAGTCGTAAGCATGCGTTCTATCATATGTATTCCGCTTTTTTCGAAAAGTCAAAAACTATATGTTTAATTTTCAAAATTTTCAAAAATGTGAACATCCGAAATAACAGTTTGATAGCGCAGTCTATTCTGAGTCGTTTTCACGACGGCCATCTGGTAGGTACACATTTGGTGCACATTTGGTGCAGATTAGGTACAGATTTGGTCAAATTAGGTTCAGTGTATCTCTTAGAAGCTATCAGCTAGGGTTGCACTAATTGCTTATATGCCTCATTTGTCATATTATCGGAGAGGACCTATCATCGATTAAAACACTGAAATAAATTCATAAAATATTTGCTGTACCTATGTAGGGGAAGCCGGGGTAACCCCGGGCGCGGGAGAAGTCCGGCCACCCCGTTTCCGGCTAAATAAAAAATGCAATATGATTGTAATAAGATAGAATGATAGCATTTTGCTCATATACCTAAGGAAAGCAAAAAAAAAAAATCCATTATTTTTTTGTCTTTCTTTAGTAAAAACGGCTGTTGGGGCGACAAACGAGCGAGCGAGAGGGTGAGCCTTGCACGTGCGGGATTGCGAGGGGGTTCTTCGAACTGACTTGTGCACGGCAACCGATATATTTTCCTGTCTCTGACGATTTGCCAAATTCCAGCGCAATCGACCCATCCGTTGAAATCTGGAAGCGCCCCCTGCACGTGCGTGGCACGTGCAGGGCACCCTAACCGAAACACATGGGAATGTATTTCCTGGTGGGTGCCTACCTGTATACCAGGTTTCAGTGAAATCGACTCAGAAATTACCGAGTTATTGAAATGGGAACATATTTGACACCTCATCTTTTTTGCAATTTGCACGTGCAATGGGATGGATCATGCAGACTCACATGGATCAAGAGTATCCGATGTTTGGTAGAAGGAATGTAATTAGGCCCTACAAAAATTACCGCATGTCAATTGCTCAAGCGGCTGCCGAGATAGATGCCTCTCAAAATCGCCACTTCTGCAAAATAGCTTGAACATCCTCGACTTTTCACGTGGCACGTGCCACAACGGTCACTTATAGATGCATCAAGAGTAGTCAATAACAGTGTAGAAGGCATGGGGCTACCCAACAATAAAGACTGCAGGCCAAATGGTTCAACAGTTGCTGAGATATAGTATGTATAAGCATCTCAAAAGCGCTACAGGCTGGGCCGGGCCGGGCTGTGTCAAGATTACTTTGCCACTAGCTGTGCCGGGCTGGGCCGCTCAACTGAGATTTTTCCGTTATATTGAAAAGCCTTTGCTTCGCTCGCTCGCTCGTAATGAGCAAAGATGTTTCTATTCCGTCTTCCTGCAATTACAAATTACAATCATGCTTTAATAAACGTTTCAAACCACTAAAAAATATATATTATGAGCAATGGATACCTATTTGTTCCAGCATGCAGATATAATGTGGACAGGTTTTAATAAAAAAAAAAAAAAACACCAATGCTGGGCAGTCTAAATACAAGACCAGAAGAAGCCAAAGACAAAAGAAGACCAAAGTGTAAAATGTCGGGTCCAATGCAGTATTTGTGGCGGCCCGTAAGCTGAATTCAAGATTTCAAGCAAAAAGTGCCAGTACCTATCTACCATTTTTGTTCGGTGTGGATAAGCAATGCCAAGGTCGACCGAAGTCAGCTTATTCAGCCGGTTTGCCGTTAGCGGCTGGTGAGAGCGCCCGACGAGATGCGCCTTGCAGATGAGCAAAAATGAGCGGCCGCTCCCGCTGCCCCGCTGACCCCCTAACGGGACCGGGACGCTCCAGAGTCAGCCGGTGTTCCGTCAGAGCAGCCCAGTCGGTCGGCAATGGGTGTCCGTGGCACAGCGCTGGCGCGCGCCGTGAGCCGGCGGCTGGCACGGCCCGGCGGCTGGCGCGCGCCGGTGCTGGCGCTGGCGCTGCTCTGGTGTGTCAGCCGTGCGCTGGTGCTGTTCCCCGGCGAGACACTGCGCGACAGGACCCTGTACCGGCTGACGATCCTGCGAGACCCCGGAGACGTCATCATCGTAAGGTCAGTGGCCACCAACGGCTGCCATATCTCACTAAGAGTCACGGCGCTTTCCGTTTACGTTGTGTTCGGCTCGACATACATGTTGTGTACTCGCACCTTTTGGTGCCTTACTTGTTTATCACGCACATGAGTTTTTCTATTGAAAATGTGACAAGAATGCTGCCACCATAACATCTACAAGGTTGCGATTTTAACATTTTCTTACACTCTACCTCGAGTTTAACTGCTCAGTTGCTTATCGCGTGGATCACTTTTCAGTTCATTTCGTGAACAAATGTGTAAGAGAAACGTTTACGCCGTTTACGTATCTAAGCCATGAAATACTGCATCGCAGTCAGGGTCACCTTCAGAAAGCTGAAGTAGTTGGTTTAATATTTTTCACCTCAGTGTAGCCCAAAGCTAATACGAAGTAATATCATTACTTCATGCGTTATTTATAACGCATGAAGCAATGATATTGCGTCGTATACGACTTATAAGTCGTACGCATTTACATAATATTGGTCCCAGTCAGTAGCGGCGGAACACCTTCAATTAAGGGGGGGGGGGGGGGCACCGCCGAATTTTGGTCCCGTTCTTTCCATGCAACGCTCATAGGGCTAACGCTAAAATGTCAAAATCAAGGGGGGGGGGGGGGTACGGTGCCCCGGTGCCCCCCCCCCCCCGTTCCGCCGCCTATGCTCCCAGTTGTTGATTTTGTTGATAAGTTAGATATCAGTATTGAAGTCAGTGCAGCCTCATTTTCTTGGCTGTAGATCTAACACCGGCCCTGTTCAGAATGAAACAGGAACGTAATTCTCGTAGGTTCATCTCGTAGAATTGGAATCTGGCCGGCTAGGCGAGTGTGATCATATACGAGACAGTTGTTCCGGCCTATTTCTGCGCCACTGCCGCCAAGTGCTGGTGACTCCACCATAGCGATCGATCTTCCGCGCTAGAGTATAACGGCCTCGCTGCTGGGACCGTCGACCCGGGTCACCAGCACGATCCACCGTACCGGCGGGCGTCTCTGCATGTTCGCTGGGGTTGTCCGGTAACGGAACAGCGGGCAGTGACATGTCAGGCGCAGCGATCAGCGAAAATAGATCACTGAAGAGCTAATCTCAAGCCCCTATAGACCGCTCATTTCCCTGCTGGTAGGTATAGGTGTTCGTGGTTGAACAAAGCGAGAGTGGTTGCATGTAACTCAATCGGAATCATATGTAGTAGTTACAAAGACATGGGGCTTTTATTTACGAATATCTTCGCCCATGTTTAGCCACACTCCAGATTTTACATGCCTAAGTACATACTACATACCTACCTATTCATAAGCCTACCTATTCAAAACCTCATATTTCTCACCACTATAACGCATCAATTCCCATCCGGTGCCCTCAGGTCACTGTAGGGACTGGTCTGCAGGCATAGATAAATACCATAACCTCTAAAACCAGTATAACGCCTTTTGGGGCGAGTAACGGAGCGAGCGAGAGGGTGGGCCTTGCACGTGCGAAATTTCGAGGGGGTACCTCCAACTGACTTGTGCACGGCACCCTACTAACCAATCTCTAGCCATGTGTCAAATTTGAGCACAATCGGCCCAGCCGTTCTCGAGATCTGGAAGCGGCACCCTGCACGTGCGCACGTGCAAAATGGGTCCCAACTGACTTGTGCACGGCACCCTACTAACTGGTCCCTAACCGTGTACCAAATTTGAGCGCCATCGGTCCAGCCGTTCTCGAGATCTGGAAATGACCCCTGCACGTGCGCACGTGCAGCAGCACCCCAACTCTGGCACATGGATATGCAGTGCCTAGTGGGTGCCTATCTACATGCCAACTTTCAGCGCAATCGGCCAAGTAGTTACCGAGATATTGCAACAATTACAAAACTGACACCTCTTCGTTTTGCACGTGGCACGTGCATAAGGGGTCACCCACATGCATCGGGAATAGTCCAATACTTGGTAGAAGGAATGAAGCTACCCTACAAAATTTACCGCATGTGAATCGGTCAAGTGGTTGCAAGGAAAGACTACGCTCGCTTCGCTCGCTCTGTAATAAACCAGTATAACGCCTTTTGGGGCGACTAACGGAGCGAGCGGGAGGGTGGGCCTTGCACGTGCGAAATTGCGAGGGGGTACCTCCAACTGAGTTGTGCACGGCACCCTACTAACCGGTCTCTAGCGATGTGCCAAGTTTGAGCACAATCGGTCCAGCCGTTCTCGAGATCTGGAAGCGGCACCCTGCACGTGCGCACGTGCAAAATGGGTCCCAACTGACTTTTGCACGGCACCCTACTAACCGGTCCCTAACCATGTACCAAATTTGAGCGCCATCGGTCCAGCCGTTCTCGAGATCTGGAATCGACCCCTGCACGTGCGCACGTGCAGCAGCACCTCAACTCTGGCACATGGATATGCATTGCATAGTGGGTGCCTACCTACATGCCAACTTTCAGCGCAATCGGCCAAGTAGTTACCGAGATATTGCAACAATTACAAAAGTGACACCTCTTCGTTTTGCACGTGGCACGTGCATAAGGGGTCACCCACATGCATCGGGAATAGTCCAATACTTGGTAGAAGGAATGAAGCTACCCTACACAAATTACCGCAGGTAAATCGGTCAAGTGGTTGCTGAGATATAAGCCTCGCAAAAGCGTGACCACGGCCGGCCGGCCGGCCGGCCGCTCATACTCAGAAATTTCCGTTAATCTAAGGAAAGACTACGCTCGCTTCGCTCGCTCCGTAATAAGAAAGTGCATCACGCAGTTAGACGAGAGCTGTCTGTGTAGGCATAAGTACTACCAGTATAACGCCTTTTGGGGCGACTAACGGAGCGAGCGAGAGGGTGAGCCTTGCACGTGCGAAATTGCGAGGGGGTACCTCCAACTGAGTTGTGCACGGCACCCTACTAACCGGTCTCTAGCGATGTGCCAAAATTGAGCACAATCGGCCCAGCCGTTCTCGAGATCTGGAAGCGGCACCCTGCACGTACGCACGTGCAAAATGGGTCCCAACTGACTTTTGCACGGCACCCTACTAACTGCTCCGTAAACGTGTACCTAATTTGAGCGCAATCGGTCCAGCCGTTCTCGAGATCTGGAAACGACCCCTGCACGTGCGCACGTGCAGCAGCACCCCAACTCTGGCACATGGATATGCATTGCCTAGTGGGTGCCTACCTACATGCCAACTCTCAGCGCAATCGGCCCAGTAGTTACCGAGATATTGCAACAATTACAAAAGTGACACCTCTTCGTTTTGCACGTGGCACGTGCATAAGGGGTCACCCACATGCATCGGGAATAGTGGAATACTTGGTAGAAGGAATGAAGCTACCCTACAAAAATTACCGCATGTAAATCGGTCAAGTGGTTGCTGAGATATAAGCCTCGCAAAAGCGTGACCACGGCCGGCCGGCCGGCCGCTCATACTCAGAAATTTCCGTTAATCTAAGGAAAGGCTACGCTCGCTTCGCTCGCTCCGTAATAAGTATGAACAATGCCACTGGCTACTAAACACATTGTGCGGGGCGATGTCAACATTCGAAGAGCGGCGCCGTTGCACGAGCGACGAGATGTAACGGCGTGAAGCAAAACGACAGATCATTCAGCGTTCCTGAACATCAATGCCTATAAGCATATAGTGTTTACAAAATGAGCTTGATCAAGTGGCTGGAAAAATGCAGTTTAAAGTGCATGTTAATGATGAATTAATGGCTCCATTTCATCCACTGTAGGAACAATGTATGAAAGCATGCACCTGAAACAGTCACCACACCCCAAAGAATTGACTGTGAAATTGGCTTAGCCGCGAGTTGTTTTCAAGCCACGAGAACCGCTCACCCCAAGCTAGATTTTGATATTTTAGAGAGAAACTATAATGAATATGTATAACTATAAATTGCATAAATTATATTCAAACTAAAATTATAATTATAAATGAAATAAAAAGAAATGAAAATATAACAATATTTAATTATAATATAATTTATAACGAATTAGAGAAATATGGCGAACTAGAAAATTTATTATTCGAAGTAGGTATGAAATTAACTGTCCTTTGAAAAGAATTCCAGTTATGATAATTCTGCAAAGCTTGAATTTTGTCGGCCAAAGGAGAAAGATGCCACCGTCCCTTCCCCCCAGAATAGTTTCTCGCAATTGCTCGGAACGCGTTAGATTTAATTAAGAGCTGGAAACTGGTACTTTGATTCAAGCTGGATATTTTGATACCAACTGCATTTTCAGGTCAGATCAGGTAACTGTCCCATGACGTCATAAGTGAGCCTATGGTCCTAAAATGTCGCAAATTCGTAACATGCTCAGTCAAGGAATCGTTTGCAGAGATAAAGCATATACTTTGTAATATGTTTCCCTTATGTATATCATACATCATTCGATTCGGCTAATCAAGTGGAACACAATGACATCATTCCTGAAGCTCTAGCTTCACGATGTCCCAATTCATTAGCAAAAAGGTATTTTGACCCCCATATTACCTCAGTTGAATCTTGTGCATTCTTGCACTAAAGAAACAGATCCTTAGTCACACAGTGGTATGAACCAGGGTATATTGAGTGAAGGGTAGGACGAACTTTGGTAGGAATTTCTAGTATAACTACTAGAAAACCTACTATATGTGGTCGGACTAGCAAAAAGTTAGTTCAATCTAGAATATGGTAGCGCTTATGGTTGGCAGTCGTGACGCGCACGTGACAATCATTTCTTAAATTTCTTAAATAATAGGTTTTAAGGGCCGATTTGGGCCGATACATTCAATTAGCTATTAATAATTGATTATGCAAACATTCAAGAATCTACATCATTTAATTCTAGCCAAAATCACGCGGCGCTCCCAGGATTCGAACTCACGACCCCCTGATCTGTAGCCCGATGCGCTACCGACTGCGCTACCGAGGACCGCGAACCGACGCTCGGAGAGGCGGATCGCGGGTGCTGGCGTGCAGAGAAATCTTTACCCTGTACGCCGTAGAAGATCGGCTGGGTTTCGTGAAAAATGGTAGAGGAATTGTCGAAAGAAAATTCATCGATCTATCATTTGAGACTAAGAACTATTGATTCCTTCAAAGGTTGACCGAGATATCGCTCGCCGAAAACAGGCCATTTAACATGTAAACCCTATGGGCTGGTAGGAAATGTACGCCGTGGAGCAGCAGTGCTACCAACTAACTTCGGCGGGGGCCGGTATGAACTGAAGTAATGCCTACAATAAAAAAATCGCTGAAATGGACAGTTATCTGCAATGATTTCACGATAGGAAAATTTTTAATTCACTATTTGCAAATTTCTTTTAACCCTTGCCCTGGCAGGACATTTTTCATAACACTGTAGGGCAGGGGGGGGGGGGGGGTCGATGCGACCCCCCTCGCGATTGGCTCCTATGGCACCTAGAAACACCAAATTTGGTAGGTAGGTGGGCTCCCTGGATTTCTCGCCCCTGTGAAAATTTGGTTGCTCTAGGTGGATATTTAGGGGGGTATAAATGTAAAAACTTCGCTAAAAACAGCGGTCAAAAGTTTTTCGCTTATAACTTTTGATCTAGGTAATCAAGATAGAGCAAAAATACACCAGTGAACTCAGCACGTCAAGGCGCATCGAATGATATACTTTATTGCTTGCTTAAGTGTACTTAAAGTTTTTCTTAGTTTTTAAGTAAACTTTAATTAATTAATTAAGTTCAAGTTAACCAAATTGCATCATATTGCATATCAATCGATTCGGCTGATCACCAGAAACACAATGACACCATTTTTTAAACTCTAGCGTCCTTATGTGCCAAGTTATTGGCAAACACGTCATTTAACCTCAGTTGACCTCATTTGACCTGACCCATGGATAAGTACACCAAACAAAGAAGCACCAAGTGACCTGCTGTTAAGTACTGTGGTTTCAAAGCACAAAAGTGATAGAACGAAGCGGATATCTCCAGTATTTTCCGAATTTAGTATTTTCCCATAGGCTTAACATTACGACATAATGACCTCTTACTGACCTCAGGTCAGTGACATAAAAAACCCGAACTATATGTTATACAACTCTGTGAACTTAGCACATTCTGAAAGTTTGAGAGAAATCAGTCCAAAACTGTGAGTTGGACAGGTGCAAAAAGAAAATTGAAATTTTACCATGACCTTGTACCAGTTTTTCTGATCTGGTGACCTGACCCAAGATCACCCGGACCTGAAAATTTCAGGTCATATGTAAAAAGGCTGCCCCATAGACTGTGCCAAATTTGGCGGCGCTGCGCGCCGCCGTTTTTATGCTATTTTGAAAAACCTTAGGGGCTTAGGGGAAAAAGGCGAGGGTTAAATGACATCAAGACCTCTAGATGACCTCAAGTCAGCGAAAATTAGAAACAGTATAATTGTTATGACATTTGGTGAGCTGAGTACAGCCTGCACGGTTGAAATATATCTATGCAAAACTCTGGATTTTATAGAAAAATAAGCGTAATTTTAGTGCTTCTTTGACAAATACCAGTTTTCGTGGCCAGTGGTGACCTGACCTGACATAAATGGAACTTAAATTTTCAGAGCATGAGTCGGTTATAGGCCCCAAGGATTGGCTTTAATTTGCTGGGGCTACGAGACTGTTGTCACGGTATCAGTGAAAAACGAAGTAATGCCGATGCCGCTAAATTATTCCAAGTTTAGGCCCGGGCAGCGCTTGTCGAACAGCACTGCGGATCCGAAGGTTGGGACTTTAATTGTGAAAAACCGCCCGCCCGTAATGCCGATGCCGCTAGATTATTCCAAGTTTACCCTTACTAGGGGTTCTGCACCGGCTATTGTGTCGAGGCTTGACCTGAAATGACTGGGACTTGAAAGTTTCAAGGAATGCGTGGAAACGATGCCCCATAGAATAGTCCAAAATTGGCAGTGCGTTTTCACGCTATCTGTGAAAAACTTAAGGGAGTTACATCAACCCCCTCTGGCCGATCGGGGGTAAATTAGCGGTGGAACCCCTAGCGAGGGTCGCATTGCCACCCCCGCCGTATTAAGAAGGCCAGTAGAGTCCGACAAAAGTTGTCTTGAGCGGCTCTTGCTGCAGATCAGTTAGTTGTATCATATCAGTCAATCGTTTCAGTTCCTATCATTTGCATATCGTCAGCCATCCTTTGCTGGTGCCACAGGAAGTCGTAAGGCTGACAAAAGTCAAAACACTGATGTGTGTTTATGCATGTGTTTTGTGTATTTATGTGTATGTAAGGTGGGAATCGACATATTTTGTTTGCATGGTATCACAAATCTCCAGACGCACAGCGGCGCTTGGGCGTGTAGTTATGGTACTGCAGTTGGTGGACTGTATAAGTGCCAGTACCTCTCAGACAGCTGCTGCTGCCGCTGAGGACGGTCCCCGGTCCACGTCAGTCACTGACCGCGGTGACTGACTGGTGCTCGCTCTGACGCCGGTTCGTGTGCTTTGTTACAGGGACGGCGCGTCCGTGCCCGACTCGGAGTTCAGCGACGCCGACAAGCGCAGTATCAGCGGCTTGTTCCGGTGGGTGGCCACCAACACGACGCGCTGTGGGCGGCAAGCTTCGTTCGGCGGTCAGGTCTACGCCAACCGGAAGTGGGAGACCCGCCTGCTGGAGGGTGACCGGCCTGTCTGCCTGGACCCAGAGTTCTCCATCGGTGACGCCGGCACGCCCTGCGTGGTGTACTCGTTTGGCATCAATCGAGACTGGTCGTTCGACGACGCGATGGCGCGTTTCGGCTGCGAGGTGCACTCGTTTGACCCGTCGATTGGTGCACAGCCGGCGCGCCGGCCCAGCGGCGTATACTTCCACCCGGTCGGACTGGGCCGCAACGACCACGTGAACGTGTATGGCTGGCAGATCTGGACACTGGACCGCGCCATGCGCGAGCTGGGCCACGACCACCTGCCGCGGCTGCAGTACCTCAAACTGGACGGCGAGGGAGCCGAATGGGACATGTTCTCCCAGCAGCTGCTCGACGGCGTCGGACACAGGGCGCTCGACAAGTTTGACCAGATCGGTCTCGAGGTGCACATGCGCAAGGCGGCCGAGCGGGAGATGGAGTTCTACCACCGCGCCGCGAACGTGACCCAGCGCCTCTCCGAGATCGGCTGGCAGGTGGCCGACACGGCGCCAAACAAAATCTACCCGGTCTGGTTTCGGTTCCCGGGTGTGAGCGAGCCTGTCTCTCACATGTACGACCTGCTCCTGCTCAACAGGCGCGAGCGTAGAAACTCCACCGTTCGAGCTGGATCGTGACCGATGGGGTCGACCAGGGCATGGCTGGGAGCCGGGGTTGACGGACGTTATGCCTGACCTGCCAGGAGCATGGGTGCAATGATCAGGATGCCGAAAAGACATGCATGGCGACCGCAAACGTTCGTCCGATGTGGTTACCGCACAGTGGGAGCGCCACTCCTGCGACACTCAACAGTCAACACCACATCACTGGCATACATATAAATACTGCCAGGCTACGTGACCGAAAACAGGGCATCTCTAGGCATACCATTGTAAAAATAACAAAATTACACAAGTAGATTTAGCTCCAATGAACAGTAGGACTGATATGCTAGCGCCGTTCGTGTAGGTATCTGAGATACCGGTGCCATTCGCACCATCGCCCAGCTTCTGATTGAGGCACGGTGCTTATCATTGGGCTTCACCGGCGTCCAAGTTCCCACACGAGTGCCCTCAGACGGTGGCCCTTCCGGCCGGAATGTTCCGCTTGAGCGCCGTGATTACAGCGGCGACTCGAACGCCGTCGCGCTGTCCCACCGGTGGCGAGTCGGTCGGCCTCGATCGGCAGGCAATGACCCAAAAACGGTAAACCGTTAGACGCACCGCTCCGAGACGCGGACCGGCGCAGCGCCCGCCAACGGCGCTCGCTGGCTAGCGACCGCGGGCGTGGGTCAATGACCAGTGATACCTAAGCAGAGTAGATGCGTTTTACAAACGGATTACAATCAGAGAAGCCGTTTGTCGTGCATTTTTACTTGCTCATTTATTCCCCGCAAATGTGACATTCACGGAGCACGTACGTGGCAGTCGACTGAGTGTTCGATATACACCACTACTGCCCACAATGCGAAGCAGTACCTACTTACATAGGTATACAGACCGGTGCTGACGACGGAGTTAAGCGTTTGCTTAGAGCAAACCAATGCACGAACGACACTATGTGCAGGTAAATGAGTTTCTTTGCGGGAGTTTCATTTGCCGATGAATTTGTTTGTCGACATGTGCAATGTAGTCATAGTGTCGTCGTGGGATGAATAGCGTGATGCAGTCGGTATAACGGCCATTGTCACGGCGACATTCATAAATGCCTTGTTGCGTTTGAATGTGATGATATATGCTCACTACACTGAAATACATGTTTCAATCATGCGAACTTCTTCAAGGCATACCATTAAGGCATAAGGCCTGCTACCGAAGAATGGAGGTGTATGTATTTACATTTTACCTACATGCACCACCCCCGCCAAGCTCTTGAATTTTCACGCCCTTATAAGTAATGCGGCGGAGGGGCGGGGGGGGGGGGGGGGTCGAACACCAGGGTCTTGGGTCCACTGGCAGATTCAGGGAGCCCCCCCCTGCAGCGCCCAAAATCGACGAAGTTCTTGGTTTTTTTTCGAGAATAAAACGAAGACTTTTATTATAAAAAGTTTGTTTTAAACTCTACAGTAGTGCGTAAGTGCGAAATCCGATAAGTTTTGGAATTTGAAAAACCTTTTTTTTGGGGGTATGTCCCCGCGGCGTCCAAGACCGCCTTCCTGGATATGCCAGTGCTTGGGTCACGTAGCGACAAGCGGCAAGTGGCGTTCTTAACCCCCACATGACTGGGGACTATTTTCCATAACGCGAGTGACTGGGGGAGGGGGCTCTACAGAGCCCCCTCTTATCTCCGAAACTACTGGGCCGATCGTCAAAATTCAAACGGCGTCTAATTGCCCTGGAAAAACTGTTGAAAGAAACCTAACTTCATTGACCTCGAGGTCACCGATGACGTCACAGGTCAGGTAAAAAAAAATTATTAGCATTTTGGCTTGTTCATAATTTAGACTCTGGCCGCCGGCTAACAAGTCCGATCAGGCTCATTTTTGGTTTACGCACTCCTTGATATAGGGGAAGACGGGGGAACACCGACCCCCTTAGCAGCTTTTAGGGTCTACTTACGTAATTTTTGGCCACATGGTCAATCTCCAGTTTCATGGCATTGTCGCATTAATTTTACATACATATCAACCAATTGTTTTCTTGTTTCGTTCATTATTGCATTATTCCAGATTTAGTAAATAAATTACATTTTCCGGGGTAAGACCGCCCACTGGGTAACACCGCCCGAGCTCAGCAGACAACGAAATTTTTAAGTTGCTGAACTATTAAATTGTTCATCTTATAGTAAATTTCGAGGTGTTTTAGTACATTCATAAAATGCACTTGGAACAATTTTATTATATCCCTGGTACAATGTAGGTATGTACCTATAACTAGAAGTAACATTCATATAACAGTTATATAACTAGACGACTTGAAGTCCCAAAATTTCATTTTCTCGAAATTTATCATTATCCTCTAAAAAGAAAACAGCAACAGCGTTCTTTCTTTATTTGAAATGCGTCACTCCTGGGTCAGGTATAACAATGTGCTATAAGCCTTTTTCACGACGGCCATCTGGTACACATCTGGTGCTTATTTGGTGCAGATTAGGTGCATATTTGGTCAAATTAGGTTCAGTGCGTCTCTTAGTAGCTGGGGCATTCCACGATAGATCGTACCAGGCCCGTCACCCTCATCTCTCAGATTTTAATGAAAATCGGTCCTAGAGGTAATCATAGGCCCCAAAGACGCCTGGAAAAATATCAGACTTCTCAGTTCTCAGATCAAAACTTTTTGAGTTATATTGCATTACATTTTTTTAACTTCGGTTTGTAACGGTGAGTTTGATGGCCTATAACTCAAGAACGGGTTATGCAACCAACAAACGGGAAACAACACTAAGCTTGCGATGAACCAAAAATTGATATTACTTTTTAAAAATTCAAAAGAAAAATAGAAAAATTTTGATTGTTGAACAAAAACCTTAATCTTTTTTCATTTGCCTCTAATGACTTTTGGGACCAAAATTTTTCACATTTTTATTTTTTCAAAATAAACTTCATGTCATTGCAAATCGACATGCAAAAAATTAGAAAGGTGTTCTTTCTATAAGTTCCTCATTTTCCCGCGAACAAAATGGGTTTCGGAGGGGTTAATACGACCCCAGCACGCCGTTTTGCTTCTAATAGAGGTAGAGCCTCCCGGAAAAAACGAACGTGTGTGCCGTTACAAGTCGCAGCGATTGGTACCCAATTTTAAGGTCATATATAAGGCAAAGGTCATATATAAGGCATATATAAGGCAAAGGGTATCATATGGCATATCATTCGATTCGGAATGTCTTCCCGAGTCCATTGGTGGCTTTCCCGACTCTCTAGCTCAATTTGATCGGGAGTTATTGACGAAAAACTCGTATGACCCTAGTGACGTCATAAATGACGTCACGCAAGGTTAACAATGCAAAAGTGAAGCATTGGACTTTGCAAGGAGTGCATGAAATCACGATATCATGTACGTGAGATAGTTTTAGATCATTATCGGCGCCAAAATAACAGATTTTATATTTCCCGATTGACTTATAACCATAGATATACAGACCTTATAACAGTGATGTCACGTCACACGTGACTCATGTGACCTTCAAAAATTCCCAGATATATAAGTTGTGAGACCTCTGGAGGACACCATGTATGCGTCCTGTAACTTTTATCTCGGACAGCTATGGTCATTGGCGTCCAAAACAATGTCAGAACCAAACAGCCTTTTTCACTCTCGCGCTTATAGGGAAGAGGGTTGGATGAACCCTCTTTTCATTTTTTTCAGACGACTAAGACTTCAATTGAAATTTCAGTAACCCGTGATGTCACTAGGCAGCTTTACCACGCCATTTGAAAGCTCCCCTCCCAAAATCACTATTCGAAACCGTTATCGTGACGTAAAATAGATACATTTATAGAAATACATTTATAGAAATACATTTATAGAAATAGCAAGTCAAAACTCATGACAAAAGAGCTCAAGGAGGCTGCCAAGCAGTTACGCGGTAATGAAGATATTGTTATCAGACGTGCTGATAAGGCATCGAATTTTGTCATACTCGACAAAGAGACGTACATGAAACAGGTGAATGAAACTCTTAGTGACACATCAAAATTCCAACGGCTGACAACCGATCCGACTGACAAGCTGAAAGCCAAAGCAAACGGAATCATACAAGGCGCAAATGCTGCACAAGACCAGATCCACTTTTCCAAGATTAGTGGTGAACACACACCGGGTTATGCGTACGGCAACGTGAAAACACATAAAAAGGACAATCCACTGAGACTCATTATATCACAAGTGACTACACCAACGTACAAGGTTGCGAAGAGGCTTAACAGCCTTCTGTCTCCATACGTCCCAGCCCAATACAGTCTGAAGTCCACTGAAGAATTTCTCGACATCCTGCGTGGTCGCAAGCTGCAAGGCTCACTGGCTTCGCTAGATGTAGAGAGTTTGTTTACCAACGTGCCTGTTCTGGAGACAATCGATATCATCCTCGATGTCGTCTACAGTGGGACGACTCTGCCACCGCTGAAGCTATCGAAGAGCATACTGAAGAAGTTGCTCTTGATGTGCACCACCGAGGCAGCGTTCAGGGGACCTGACGGCAAGCTGTATAGTCAGAAGGACGGCATAGCCATGGGGTCGCCGCTCGGACCATTGTTCGCGAACTTTTACATGGCCCGTCTCGAGAACACTGTGCTACAGGACATGGACGGACCACCAGAGCTGTACGCTCGATACGTAGACGACATATTCGTCTGCGTCCGTGATGAGGAGCATCTGAAGACGCTGAAGACGGCATTCGAAGAGGCTTCCGTCTTAAGGTTCACTTACGAGGTCGGCGGCAACAAGATTGCATTCCTCGACACCATGGTCGAGAAGCTGGATGACGGCATGTGCAGTACCTCGGTCTACAGGAAGACAACGGACGAAGGACATTGTCTCAGCGCTCAGAGCGAGTGCCCTGAGCGGTACAAGCTGAGTGTGATCAAGGCATTTGTCAGGCGGGCTGTTAACAACAGTTCATCTTGGCAACATGTCCAATAATTTGTCCATGCAGAGCTCACCAGATCTCGTCAAATCCTCGTCAACAATGGATACAGCAATCACCTCGTCGATAATGAAATCAAAAGACAACTTGATGCCTGCCATCAGAGGAGCGAGAAAGGTGAGCAGAGTGAGCAGCAAGAGTGCGAGGAAAGTGGACAGAAGAACGATGAGAAAAGTCAAGACAAAACGGAGAAAACGGAGAAAATCAAACTGTTCTACCGCAGTCAAATGAACACAGCCTACAAAACGGAAGAGAGGGTCATCCGAGATCTCATCTTGACTAACGTCAAGCCGACAGACCAGGCGAAGAAAGTGACACTCATCATATATTACAACACGAGGAAAACCGCAGATCTCGTCATGGTCAACAACATGTTCAAGAAGAAGACACGAGACAAGGACAACAGACACTTACAGCAAGCCAATGTAATTTATCAATTCAGTTGCCCCGAAGAAGGTTGTAGACTTCTCAACAAAGATAAATACATTGGCGCGACTACCACATCCCTGTCCAGACGACTTACAATGCATAAACAACAAGGCGCACTGAAGAATCACATGCACAAAGAACATGACAAGGACATCACACGACAAATTTTGGTGGACAATACCGAAATACTGTGCTCTACCCATGACCAGCGAAGACTGTGGGTGTTGGAGGCGCTGTACATCCGTGAGTACTCGCCTCACATCAACAAGCAGCTCTACAAGTCGGGGTGCACGACACTCACGCTTTGGAGCTGAACAATGCGATGGGTATTAGTGATATCGGATTTAGGAGGGCTATATGACGTTTAGAGTATCTATGTATCTGTGCATAGAAGGGTGTCATATTACCAAAATGTGTCATGTGTCATGCATCCAAGTGTGGAACGATGTAGGTATATTAGTTAGTGTGTTTACTGAATGTGACAACTGCAAGAGGCCTTAGCAATTTATCACGCACAATATGTATTTAGTTTTTCTCCCTTCCATTCTAATAGCAAACTTAGGCTCTGTGCTTTTACAATTTAACCTTGTGATCATGAAGATGTAGATGTCTTCGAAAGCTTAAGGAATTTAATTTTGTATACATGTTATGTCTGAAACCTTTGCCAATATAATCGGACAATTATCAACATCTCTCAAGAAAACGATCCGAAAATACGAACACACAAATCGGAAGCTCATAAAAGCAGAATTCGCACTAC